TATATATATTGTCTGTGAGCATCAATTATAAAACTATAAGGGTCTCAGATCAGAGCTGATCCCTTTGAACCAGTYCAGTTCATTTAAAACCAACAAACCCTCCAAACTCAACAGGCTCATTAGAGAAATAATGGACTGTGTGCAGAATTAGAAAAACTCACTCTCTTGTGAACCACCTGCAGTAAAAACCAGGCTCCAAACAGCAGCGCAGCAGCTGAATAAACGTACAGCCTTTTGGTCCAAACCCACATCAAACAGTTCAGTTCGGAACTCTGGACATCTTCCGGGTCTACAGGGACAAAACACGTCCGGATCAGTTCTGTTCCTCAACAGCAATGTAAACAAACAAGCCCTGAATCTGAAAAATAAATAAATACTGCTGATGCTAAATTAGCGTAAACTGTTAGGCTAGGCTAGGCTAGGCTAGGCTAGCAGGTAAAGTTAGTTTTCTGTCCGTTTAAACACTTAAATTCAAAATTACCTTTAATGTCCGAGGGAGACGCGAAACCCGCGAAAAGGGAAATCATTGAAAGTAAAATTAACATAGCTGCAAAGGTGAAAACTATTTAGAAAACAACTCAGTTATCAGCTCGTGCAGCAGGGTGCAGCCATGTTGTTTGGCCGAACAGCATGCTGGGATGTGAAGTCTTTCCAGCTGGCTTTTTATTACTTATTTTTATCAAAACAACACAACTCGACCAAATATTCAAACCATAAAATAAGCGTCGAGGTAAAGATAAATAAACGATATAACAATGGTTATTAACGATAAAGCTAAACTAAATTTACGTGCTTTTATTTTTGGAAAACAGCAACGGAAACGAGACATTTTAATATTTTCATGGTGGTTATAAAACTGTACAGTTTATTTATTTTTATAGAAGAACATATTTTTAAATTGTTGTTCAAAGATTCGTGTGTTTTTGTTGCATAAAAAGTGATACATCCCCCTCAAGTGGTCATTTTGTGTTACTACGTTTTTAAGGAACCGGAAGCGTGTAACCTCCAAAGTAAAAGGAATTACGTCATGTGTATTCCGTCAAGTGACAAAAAGTGCGTTTTGCTGTTAACATATTTTTAAGCATATTATTATTAATATCATTAAGTTAAGTAGTCTAAGTTGTATTTTTCACATAGTATATTTTACATATTTTGATGTTGTAAACTGTTTTTAAGTGCTTAAATCGAGCAAACTGTTCAAAGCAGAACTGTTATTTCCAGGTTTACGTTTCTCTTCGGACCCAAAATCAGGAACACAGAGGGCGCAGTTACCGACAGCCTGAATTTTCTGTTTTCAGACGGGATTTTCACACAAGTTTGGGGTCGTTTTCAACACAAACATGTCTATTTTCACTCCAACGAACCAAATCCGGCTGACGAACGTGGCGGTGGTCCGGATGAAGAAAGCAGGGAAACGTTTTGAAATCGCTTGTTACAAAAATAAAGTCATGAGTTGGAGATCAGGCGCGTGAGTATCATAAACAACTTATTTTATACATCTAAAATACAACATTTCTTCTTGTTATAACCATTAATCTGTGGTTATAGCTTTGCGTTTCCCCTCAGAAGTACAAAAGCTTTATGTTGTTGTTGTTTACTTTCAGAGAAAAAGACCTTGATGAGGTTTTGCAGACTCATTCAGTTTTTATTAACGTGTCCAAAGGTCAGATGGCAAAGAAGGAGGATTTGGTTAAATCTTTTGGGACAGATGATCAGACAGAGATCTGCAAACAGGTTGAGCCGATATTAAAATCATCATCATAAAAGGAAAACGAGGACATTTCTAACCCTTTGTTTGTTTGTTTGTTTGTTTGTTTGTTTGTTCGCTCCGGTGCAGATCCTGTCCAAGGGGGAGCTCCAGGTGTCGGACAGGGAGCGTCAGAGTCAGCTGGAGACCATGTTCAGGGACATCGCCACCATCGTGGCGGAGAAATGTGTGAACCCCGACACCAAGAGGCCGTACACCGTCAGCCTGATCGAGCGCGCCATGAAGGACATCCACTACTCCATCAAGACCAACAAGAGCACCAAGCAGCAGGTACACACACACACACACACACACACACACACACACTCACAGCTCCTGAACACACACACGTACCCTCTGACCCCCGCCCCCAGGCGCTGGAGGTGATCCGGCAGCTGAAGGACACCATGCAGATCCAGAGGGCCCACATGAGGCTGAGGCTGCTGCTGCCGGCCAAAGAGGCCAAGAGGCTGAAGGAGAAGCTGCAGCCGCTCCTGCAGGTGGTGGAGAGCGAGGACTTCGACCAGGAGCTCGAAATGGTTCGTCGCTCCGACACCAGGCTTTTATTTTGAAAAAAAGTGGACTTGGAAGTTGTGTTTAAAAAAAAGCCCGCTCCTCTCCTCCCACAGGTGTGTCTGGTGGATCCGGGCTGCTTCAGAGAGATCGACGAGCTGATCCGCTGCGAGACAAAAGGCCGAGGGTCCCTGGAGGTCCTCAGCCTGAAGGACGTGGAGGAAGGAGACGAGAAGCTGTAGCTCCTGACCTGCAGACACACCTCAGCAGGATCTCAAACAGCTAAAATAAAGACTCATTCTGGTCCCACTTGGTTGATTTTCAACAGCTTTAAACAGCGGCTGAGTTTAAAGGGCCCATCTGACAGGAAGAGCCGGAGGTTTTTCAAAATAAAAGTTTCAGAGTTTAAATTTAAACCTGAATTATTTTATTTTCTGTCAGTTCAGACGCCTTCATCTGCCTTAGTGATCATATTCAGCCAGAACTAATTTAACTACATGATGTAAATAAGGAAAGAGTTTGTTTTATTATTATTAATAACATGATGCTAACAAGGATCTGATCAGTTCAACAAGTTAAGAAAAACTGCACAGAATAAAACCAACAAATCTCTATTTACCATATTTAATATTCTCATCAAAAAACAGGTTTTTTCAAAATYAAACAACATTCTGCAGAAAAGTTTCCTTTGAAATATTCAGAAAGTAAAACTCAATTCTTAAAATATTGGCTTTTAGTCTTAATTCAGTTAAATTTGGACCAATAAAGATAGTAAATATGAATAAAAGTAGTTTTGTCTTTTTTTTGTGCTTTTCCCAAAACAAGTCAGCAGGAGGGAGTTTCCTGTAAAACTTTTCTTTCTCACAATAAATAAAAAAACACCAGTTTGATTCAGACTTTATTTAAAAGCCCTGCAGTGAAATAAACCCAAAGGTTAAATAACTTGTAAACATTCAAACACCTGTCTGCTCTCAGGGACAAACAGGTGAGAAAAAAAGTCTATTAAATATGTAAAGATCTAAGATCTGCAACAAACTTGATATTTTAATATTTTTACATTAGAACAAAGAAAAATCAAATAATTAAATATTTTTTAAAAATCCCAGAGAAAACTGAATAATTTGTAGAAAATTATTAAACCATAGAAATAAAAAAACAGTATTTTCTATTAAGAGGGCAGAAATGTTATCTATATATATATACATATATATATA